TTGTGTAGTCCTTCTTCTATAAATGGACTATCCAACACATAAAGAGTGGTTAAATTTGAACCAGTCGTTGCCGAGATTGGCCCGTTTAAACAGACAAAGACACTTCATCTTTTAATTTTTGAAGCAATTATACAATATTTTTCTCCATACTGTGGTCGAAGGATTCCACATTTTCGACCAACGACATTGTTTTAAATGTTCTTAGTTTATCTTTATTATTATTTTAGTGCCCATTACTGCAAGCTGTATGCTTTACAAATGACTGTGCGTAGGTAATAGGTAATAGGGACGCTTGTCAAATAGCATATTTGACAAGCGTCAGGTCAGAACAATTACTTTTATTTATTGTCCCTGCATAATATTGTCCTTCTAGCTCAATGATGGATCACTTTTCCTAGATCATAATGATAAGTTGAATTAGTTTTAATCGTACTCAGAGTCATTTAATCGTTACTAAGAAATAGTTTAAAGTTATCATTTGATGTCTCTGAGTAGGTATGTAAATTTTCTCGTTAATCAGCTTTTTTTATAAATTGCCATTTCGTTTAATAAGTTTTAATATAAACGACATCTTTTATTTATTTGTATTGCGTTCTCACGATCAGTAATCATAATCACTGATAAGCGAGTATGCAAATCACTGTTTTCGATCGACGAAAATTCTCCAAATTCCAATTAATGTTTGGTTTTTTTAAAGGTTAACTGTCAAAAATGCATTTTATTAATTGAATTTGAATATATTATTATGAATTATAAATATTTTAATTCATAAAAGAAGTTATTGATAGAATTATTGAATGTTCAATTTATAAATTTGCATTCGTCGATAGTCGATTGTTTTGAACTTGTCCGCTTTTGGCACTCTAGCTTTGTGGTAAAATAAGCAATGAATTATTATTCGCGAAATGAGTCACACTGCTCCAAGTATTCGCTTTATGCACATACATATTGATTCTAATTCCCATTGTTTACGCGTTTTATTTACGCGTTCCACGAACGATGCGCGCCCGTAAGCGTGTAATAAATAAAATTAATGCTTTATAAAATATACTCTGTGTCTTAAAGTGCAATAAAATATTATACTCTGTTAAAATTTTACGATTTTACCAAGTGTAAATAGATATTACCGTTTCACTAGAAACTAGAGAAGATCCTTGATAGGTATCGATATTGTTGGTGCAATAACGAAGAGTAATAGGTATCGATATTGTGCGTTTTATTAAAAATAACGACTAAATTACGCGACGAGCGTCGCCGAATCACGCGCGCTGCTAATGAATAAGAGTCCCGTTTTGATTTGAAACTAGTAGAACTTTCCTATTTAGTTCACATGAGTAAGTCGTTACTTTAAATAAATTTAATAAATTTAGGTGTTTGTGTTGATATTCTATTTGAAAATTAAAATACGCAAACGTAATTGCAGTTATCTATGCGTTACACGTACACGTATGACCTATAATTCAATAAATAATGTCTAAAGAAACCACTTTTCCAGTTCGTAAAATACCATAAAAGGCTCGCCCGTCAAACAGGGTATGTCTAAAATATGATTATTAAACTTGCCTAAGTACTTAAACGTAATTTATAAGCCTGTTCTGTTATCTTGACTGGGCGACTCAAAAACCAAACTAACAGTTTTAATCTCGGGTCAATAGGACGCTCGTAAATCTGTCTGTTTGTCTGTCAGTACGTTGCTAATAACGCATTCGGTGGCGCTTGCAACAGACACTTAGACCTCGTTTACTGAGGAGCGGCGCGGCGGGCGATACGCCGTGTATTGAAGCAGCGGGTCGCGTCATCGCTTATACAATCAGTAAATCAAATTCTTTGCCGGAGTCTGTGTTCCCGAAGGGATAACATGTGTATTTTTAAGGCCCGAGTGAATATGTTACTTATGGGCAGACATACTCGTTGGTTACCAAGGGCGATCCGCTGGCTGGATGATGTGTTTCCTTTCCCATTCCAGACGTTATCTATATCTCTATGCTAAGTCTCATCTAAATCCAATAATCATTTTTTACGCTAAAGAGGAACATGTCTTCATCTATCCATACTTATAAACTTTAGAGTTCATAATATTAGTAGGATGTGTGAAGAAACGCCATTAACCCCACAAAACGCGGATTTAACTCCCCATAAACGAGGCTTTAGCGGTTTTGTAGCCTTTATGACATACTTAGGTACTTATAAATTTCGAGAAAATTAACTACTACAAACAAAATTACGACAACTTCGTACTTAAGAACTGCTAACAGTTTTTGGAGTACTTACGTCTTACCATGGTACTTAACGTCTTAATTTTATTTACCGTTTTCTTGTCAATTAAAATGAAAAGTGATTTTGTTTTTAGAACGTCTTTGTATTGGTAAATGTTTGAAATTTAAATTCGGTTTTCTTTATTGAATTCTTTATTTGAATGTTGAAACTTGGAGCTACTTTTTAGAACGCTATTTAAGTAATGTATTTTAATAAAATGTTTCCGAAGATTTTATTGTAAATTCCACCTGTACTACACACACATAAAAATGCTATAGAATTTATTATTTATTACGTAACAACTACGGAATCGACTTGGTTTTAAAATTTTCAATCATAAACAGTTCGTTTTATGTCCATGTTGTAGTCGATTTTAAATTTAAACGTTGGTATAATGTTTTATTATAGTAGAGTAGGTCTATCAACATGAGTTCATTAGTACAGTCAGACGGGGCAATTAGAGGCCTCTGAATTGTTTTTATGATCCTTTCTTTACGAACGGACATCGCCCTTAATTGATTTGTACGGGACGTCTCGGTCATTCGTAGTTATGTTTGAATTTGGAAAGTTGTCTTACTTCGAATTAAGAATGCATCTAGTCTAGATACTAAACTATTACTTAATAAAAATATGAAACCAGCTAGATGCTACATTAAACTGTGGCTATTAAAAAATAATTGTGTTCCTTTTTTAAATAACATAGACAAGAACAATGAAGACGGCATTAAACAGTTAATATGTAGAAGTACACATGTTTGTTAATAGATGTCGCTAAACTAAATGCAATAATATTAATACCTTTTTGGTTTATAAAATTATAAAAGTATATTTAACAGAGATCTTATATGCGATTAGCTATATTGTAATTTTTTTTTAAATCCTCCTGTTAATGTGGGTCCAAACTTCCAGCATATTTGTAACGGTTTTCTCAAATAAATCATGGCACCAGCTGGCCATAAGATAGATAGAATACTTTTAACAAATTGAAACTGATTATCAAATTTCGTATCAGTCCGCATCATTATATCTAGTAAAATGCTATCCATAATAACAATATATCATTTGGCGACAGTTCTAATTAATAAAGTTTATCTTTTTCACATGGTGTCTAATGTGTTCCATAAATCCATCCGTCTGTCTCGTATAAATAAATAAGACTGAAGATTATATTTGTTCGTCGCACTTAAGGAGAATGTTTTCGAAAGTAGTGAAGATTGTGGTTGTGATTTGTTTTTAAGTTTGTTTATAAGTAAAGGTGTTTTAGTATTATGTAATAAATAAGGTCTAAGACTTTAAGGTCGGTATCTAGTCGCAATGATGTCCTACTAATATTATAAATGCGATAGTTTTTAAACTTGGATGGATATTTGTTGCTTTTTCACGTGTAAACTACTAAACGGATGTGAATGAAATTCGGCATACATATAGACGCTGACAGAAGCTAGTGATTATTTGTAAAGCTGAATAGCTTGTTTATGAACGCGCCATCTCCGGAACTACTGGTGTGGAATTAATCAAATCTTATTATTTTGGATAGTTCATTTATCGAAGAAGACTATAAAATATAAATACTAGGTATAGGACAAACAAAGGAGTAGTTAGCTAATTATATACTAGCTTCAATAAACAGAGAGATTGATTTGCACTGTGTCGTTTCCTCGGGCAATTAACACTTTCATATTGAACCTTAATCACCGTCTCGAAAACCTATCAATAATATAAATATAATTAATAATTTTTGATACAACATTTAATAGGCTAATCATCTGAATTGTAGCTTGAGGCTCGGAATACAGATGAGACATTTTTAGCCACCCACGCGACAATTTATCAGGTTTAAGAATTAATTTAGTAACAGTATACCTAATTACTTATTTAAGTAATGTTTGTGTACCGAAACTAATTAATATATGTATACATATAGTCTACAAGCTTTAGCTAGACGATAAAACTTACTGATAAGGTAGCAAACGAGCATACAGATTGCTTACTATCAGGAGATATCCTGATGGTAAGCAATGGGCGCCACCAGACGCATACACTTCCAGAAAAGTTACTTTTTTAGGGTTAAGTTTTGGGAATTTGAAGATTGAAAATCAACCTTACGTCTGCCGGTATATGAGACACAATCGAAAATATGTTGCGTCTCGCTTATATGTTATATACCTACTTATAACAATCGTTCAGGCACACCTAGGATTAAGGGGTGGTAAGAGGAGAAGAAGGATTGGGTCTTCGGTAACCTCAGTCATACGACGAAACAGGTTTTCCGTAAGGCCGTGGTATCACTCATGCTGAAGCATGGCTCTTCCAAATTTAAACACAGACGTATATGTCTTATAGTAATATAGAGATTTATCTATATAAATTAATTCATAGATATTAATAACCATTTGACAGTTACGTAGATATACCTAAATCGAAATGCCGATGAAACGAGACACCCATTCGAATAACCAATTCTCTCGTTAATAATTTTCACATCGGTGTTAATTAGTTTGCACTTAGTTAATTAATATTAACAGCTTTAAACGTTCAGTTCATTAACGGCCATGTTTTCGCATGCGCAATGTGTTTTGCGTTTAGAAAATATTCATTCTTAAGAAGGTGATTATAATGAAATTGATTTACATGTATTGCTTAGGTTGTTAACATTTGCCTCATTGGTAATACAAGAATTAATGCGGATACATAGTTATGTGCCATGGCCTGTACTGACGAACAGGTTTTAAAAGTTTAACAGTATGTGGAACTACATCTGCGTAGCAGTGATGTTCGTCCTCAAGGTGCCAATAGACGCCTACAGACGGGGCCCTACAGGGCCAGTGTTCAGCCGAACAAGCGCAATGAGGCACTCGCGGCCTCGGCCTAAAGCAGGTGAAGGAACGGAGGAGTATTTCATAGTAGACTCTCTCTCGCCTCACCCTGATTTTCCCCTCCCAAAAAAGTACGTGATCCTACAAGTTTGTTTCAAACTTTAATGTATTAAACTGATATGCAACTGGTACAGCTAGACACGAATGTATGATACTGCTTTTATAAGAACCGCAGTCATCAGGTTTACTGTATTATTAAGCCAGATGTTTAACGAGTAATAAAAAGTATAGTGACTGGTTTCCATCTGTCATTATGCACAGAACCGAATAAAGGTTCCAGATACCTCTATTTTCCGCTCCAACATTAGTGTAATTTCGTCCAAACTATGTCTTCGAATTATCATTTTTCAAATAGAATTATAGTCGGCCTGCACGCATCCGTCGATTAAAACCCAATTTGGGACCAACATGTTGTATCCAACTTGCTGCCCTCTACTGGCCGGGGATGGCAAATTGGCCGATAATTATAGGGCGGTTTGTGAGAATAGAATAGAATGGAATACTAACAAAAACGGAACGGTGGTTTTGAATGGAATGCATTTTATATTCTACTGGCTTATACTTTTGTCCGCGTAAAATAATATATCGATATCGCGGAAAAATTATATTATTTCTAAATAAAAGTAAAAAGATTAGCCGGAACAAACAAACGGACAGACACTGACGAAAAAGTAGTGTTAGTTTTGTTTATAAATAACGTACATATGCATAAAGCAAAAATTTGAAAATTTCAATATTACAAAGACAAAGAGACACTATTTTATTTTTATGAATATTTATGTAAGTATATATATTTTGTTATATTTTAATGCGTATTAATATTTAGTTCCAGGACTATTTGTATTTTAAACGGTGTAAAAAAATATCTCTTGAAATTAAATTCCCGTAAGTGACAATACCAACTCAAGAACACGAATGACAAACGACTAGCATTTTATGTCAATTAGCGAAGCGTTCCGGGAATTGGCCGTTTACTTATAAATAATGCTTAGATACCTGAAAGCTATTATCAACCTTATTACCTGAGCTTTAAAAGCTAAATCTATTTTCATTTATTTTCTACTCTCATTTAATTTGCTTCGACAATCTTTCTAAAGGAACCACATTAACAATGGTAATATCTAAATTATTGTGAGCTAATTAACTAAGTGGCAAATAAAATACGAAATTTATTCCTGATTGCTACCTAGAGCCGTTTCCACGAACGAAGCTAGACAAAAGAATAATGAAGTTAGTAAAAAATAACACGCAACGAACTACGTGGCACGCAACCATCAAATATTAGAAGCCCTTACAATTATAGAGCTAAGCGAAATCGTGTCTTTGTATAATTTAAAAATAATACGTCATAATGTTCTGTACCGACAGACAGACAAACGCTAACAATCTCATTCTTGTCCTTCACGATTCATAAAAGGGTATAAAGTCCCAACCGTATATTATTGTTTTAAGACATTTTGTTGCTCGTCGCGGTCGGATTCCCGCGGCCGCCAGTGGGCGGTTACCCTGTAATCAACCCCCCTCCCGCGCTTTGGGAGCGGTCCATAGTGATTATAGGAGGAATTTTACGGCTCCTTCGTTAGTCCGTCAAATCATAGGTGCGTTGCCTAATGCTTTAGAAGGGTCTCTGAACAATTTTATGTCATTTCCTAAAAATATAATGTTGGGATGCATTTTGTGAGGTAATTGTCTGGGAACTAGCTACACGCATCCGTTGAAAATACATATAGGCACCGGTGGGTAATGCTCAGCTGTCTGCCGGCGCCAGTCTCGATGGTAAATATCACCTGTACACCAGCCAACTTAATTTATCGCGAAATGATGCGTAATTGATTCGATACCGCAGCTGCCTGGCTGCCTCACTCGCGTATAATTAATACGTATAAATAAAAATCCTCGACTGTCTAGCACTTGCTTCGGATAATGTCGATATAAACTGGTAGTACTTGATGCACGCACTATTAATATAATATTGTACATCTTCCTCTAAACGCTCTGAATTATAAGTTTTCACGTAGCCATAAAATCCTTCATTAAATCTCTGATGAAGATCCAAGATACTTAAATCATAAAATTAATTTCGGCTATAAAACGGTGAACTGCAAAATATCTGCAGACCAATGAACTTAGCTTATTTATTATATTACGTCACCGCTAATAGTTTTCATAGTATTAAAATTCCATTTCGATAATTCTTCTATAAAAATTAAAGGTCGATAATAATAATTTCGGCTCCCGCGTTTATTTCGGCCGAAACCGGTACCAAGTGCCTAAACAATTAGTCATTACCTACATAAAAAAAAATAGATTTGCTTAGCACGATCGTTAAACCATTTATTTATTATGTATCCTACAAATGACTTATGGCCTCAAACAGAAGTAGCAGTAGGCATTCAATGATTCATGAACATAAAAACAGAACGGAATAAATGATAATAATGCGACCACAAAAAATACCATTTTGTTATTAAAAATATATCCTATAAGTGTTATGACGCAAATAATGATAAAGTATCTTAATGTACGTACTGAAATTACTTGGTAATAGCTTTGAATAAAAATAAGTTATCCTATGCATAATAATAGAAAATTTATTAAAGTTTTATGTTAAAGATGATAGAACATAGTAATGGGTTGCAATTTGCACCTGCATCTATTAGGATCCATGAGTCTTTCGAGGTCTAAACAGCGTTATGACTAAAGTTACTCATAAACAGCTGAAACTATTATGATTTTTGTTACATTAGAAATAAAGACCATTTTTTTCTTTCCAAATAAACCCCCTACTTGCTTCTGTAATTAAGCAATTCCATTACTAAAACACTTACTTAAACCCAAGTAATCTTTATTTCTTAGAAAGAGGCACTTAAATTACCAGACACGGCACTTACACTATGGCAAACGATTGAAAACTATAACTCAAGTGGAGTTTCCAAGGAATAGCGTAACAAGACCCTGCGATAGTCATTGTTTAAGGTACTTACGATGTAGCTTTTGCAGTAAAATTACCCGAGATCTGCCGACAAAACCGGTAATTGTAGCTAGTTTAGTAATTTCAGTCGTTAGCAGTTAGTCGATTTCTCAAAGCTCAACTAGAGTAATCAGTGCGGACTAGACTAAAAATTGCTCTCTTCAGATGGCGCCTCTAGGTGGACTAATCTCCGTGGTTATACCGTAATCACATATTTCATCAACATTATTGATAATAATCGATTCGTCTGGTCCTTCGATGTCTCGAGCATAACTTACGTGTACATTTCGTTTTGTTTTATCAACATTGCCTTTTTATGATGGAACTTTAATAACTTTAGTTATTGTGCTCATAAATTTCTGACCGTTGACAGGATTTGCTTGTTTTCCATTTCGATGCGCGATGTTTGTAGTTTTTTTCTCATGCCAATGTAATTCCGTAGCATCGCTTATTTCAACTACCACTTTAATATTTATCTTTTCCAAAGTTACTAGTCTAGAATTATCCTTAGCTGTCAGCTTTGCATCTTTAGCCTATCTATCCTGCGGTCCACTTTCATCCTCACTCAAAGTCAGAGCACACGTTATTAAAGTAATCATTCATTCGTTAAATAAAACAAATCTTCAAAAGCTTTTGCCTGGGGCGGTTCTGTCGGCACGACAACAGTCGTGTTCGGCGTCCCTTCGGCAAATAATCGTTTCGTCCGATAATTGCCGATTTCGCCCGAACGCGGTTGGAGCACAAAGCTTCCCCAGTGATTGCGCAAGATTGCACTACAATTTTCTTTGAGCAAACAGATGCTTATGTATGGACGATTTCTTTTTTATCAAACAATTTGTGTGGATTACAAGGTGTAGAACATATTTTGAATTTTTTGCGGTTAGTAAAATGGTTTTTAGTTAGTTAGATTTTATAATGAGACATTTGCATCCGTGTAAGGCTTTTGACATGATAAGACGCGACATTGATTCGGAAAGGATTAATTCCACTTTGACTTGCTTGTTTTTTAGTTATGACAGGTTCCGATAAAATCTCGACGAGATATAAAATATTGCGCTGTCAGTACTTTATAATCGAAGGTTTTTAATTTGGAATGCGTTCCTCGCTGTTGGGCAATAAAAGTTATTAGTTAATAAAAACAAAATTGTGTACTGGTGTCCCGCCGGGTCCGATACTGGGACCACACATCGCCGTCATCGGCGCCTCTTTGTGCCGTGTACACTGCACGTTTCACTTGGGCTTACTGTACAACTGTACAAGTTATAAGCTGTAGCGATTCAAAAACTCCAAACGAATATTGAATCACACCTTTCTGGTTGTCTTCACTTACAGTGGTTGAGTGCTTTCTTGTTTTCTAGTACGTAATTGTATGGTAAAAAAAACTTACCACAATTTTTCGGTTGGTTAAGTCGACATCGAAATATATATACTCTTTTCAAATTGTTCTCATTCATCATAAAGATTTGCTATTTTACTGTCGGCTACTTTCTTGACCGCTATAAGTATCACTTTGTACGTATTTATTCTAAAAAAAGTTATCGATTATATCATTTTATTTAATAAATGAGGTCCGCTTCACCTCACCCTTTACGCCATACGATGCACTATCGTCTGTTTAAATATTAGTAGTTATATCCTGAGATGTTTGTTTCTACCGAGAGGCGGTAGTTAAGTCTGTATGTTTGTACATACTTGTGTACGTGTATGCTAGTTAGCGAAGACGCGCTTTTTATGGCCACCGCTGATTGTGTTAATTCCCTGTCGCTGAGAACCACTTTTGAATGTCTAAGTTTAGTCGGTGACGAGGCTCGCATGACGTCGGCTCTAGTAGTGGTTTAGACAGATGTCATGTAGAGCAGTTTATGGGCATTTGTGATAGTCTTAGTCTTTGATTAAAACTTCAGAAAATTTAAATTATACCCTTTTTTTGTACAACACATGATAGCGTAGTGACTGGGTGAATTCAATCAATACAAATCTTTCCATGATTAGCATACGTTTGCAAAGAACCAGCAGAAGATGACACCTCT